TGTCCCTATGGGGTGGGCCCGTCCTGGCCCTCCTCTCTCCCTTCCCCGGTCGTTCCCCTACCCCTCCGCCACGGAGGTGCCCCCCCCAAGTGCCCCCTGCGTTCCACCCGCCGCTGACCCACCTCTCTCCCTCGCAGGAAGGCAATGACGCCAAGAAGGTGGACGCCATGTCCACTGGCTTTGGCTTCCCTGTGGGAGCTGCCACGCTGATCGACGAGGTGGGCGTTGACGTGGCCACGCACGTGGCAGAGGACCTGGGCAAGGCCTTTGGCGAGCGCTTCAAAGGGGGCAACGTGGAGCTGATGAAGGCCATGGTGGACAAGGGCTTTCTGGGTGAGTGTCTGAGCCTCTTTCTGGAAACTTGCGTGTCGACAGCAGGCGAGGAACCAACACACCCTCCTTGCTTCCGTTTGGGGAACAAACCTCTTCCGGGCAAACGGGGCAGAGCAAACCTTGGCGTCTGGATGCCGTGACCACATCGGTCTCGCCCAGTTGCCACACTGGGCAACGATCGAGCGGCTGTTGGGATACTGCCGGGGAGACGGGGGCATCAGGTAGGCTCCCAGCTGGCTCCAGCCAGCAGCCGGTTTCCCTTGGAACAGCATCAATCAGCGACATGAGCCTCAGATATGTTTAGAGACCCATGCATGCTCTGTCAGCAGAGTGCATAAATCTTCCCACAGCAGAAGAGGCGGACAGAGAAATGCGTAAGCTGTATATTACAGCATTTTATTCAGCATAGTTCAGGAACAGAGGAAAACATGTCTGCTTCCCTTCGTCTCCAGCAAAACAGCAGTAACACAAAAGCTAGTATACAAACGGAAGTTCCCAGCAGGTGCTGGAAGTAAAACAGGCAGGTGACACACAACAGTCATGCCTGTTCCTCTTTTAAGGTAGAACGGAACTATATCCTAACAGCGGCAAAGGCCATTAGGGTGTTGAACTGGGACCTGGGAGAGACCCGGTTTCAAATCTCCACTCGGTGGGTGAGTTTGGGAGCTAGTCACTGCCTCTCTCATTCGTTTTGGTTGTATGCCGCTTTTCCACCCAAAAAAATCATGCTCAAAGTGACTTACAGCAAAGAAACAGAGATGCATTTCGAACACACAATACGAAAGCTTCTGAACCGGCTCCCAGCCTCTGGGTTCAGTCTTTAATTCTGCAAACAAGCCTGGAATCAATGGCTGGGGGAAGAGGTCCCCAGGCTCTCGCCTCCTCCCTCGTCTGCCACACACGTCTTCATTCATTCATTTATTGAATTGGTATACCGCCCCATACCCAGAGGTCTCGAGGCAGTTCACAATAAAACCACATATATAATAACATCAAAAATAAAAATGAATCCAATATACCCCCCAAAAGCCACCTTTTAAAGGGTATAGGATGTTGATTAACATTTTTGCCTGGTGCCCAAAGGTGTATAATGAACGGCACCAGGTGAACTTCCCTGGGAAGAGCATTCCATAGACGGGGAGCCACTGCAGAGAAGGCCCTGCTCTCGTGTTGCCACCCTCCGAACCCCTCTAGGAGGAGGCACACGAAGAAGGGCCTCACCTCAGAAGATGATCTCAGGGTCCCGGTAGGTTCATAAGGGGAGAGGAAGTCCTTGAATTTTGCGGGTCTCTGAGCCGTTTCACTTCTGTCCCTTCCGGAGCAGAGGGGGCCGCCCAACTGCTCCTCACCCCTTTACACCTCTGCGCAACTTCTTTCGCAGGCCGCAAAGCCGGGAAGGGCTTCTACCTTTACCAGGAAGGGTGTAAAGAACCGGAACGTCAACACCGGCATGGACGAAATCTTGGAGAGGTTCAAAGTGGCCGCCAAGCCGGAAGTGTAAGTTCAAAGAAAGGAAGGCCTTCCTGAGTGAGGCAGAGACCAGAGCTCCGGAATGAAGGCCCAGGATGCTGGTCTGCCCTAATTCCCCAACTGCAAACCAACAGGCGCAGCTGGCTTAATTCTGAGTTGGGGCAGCGGTCTGTCTTGGCTAGTTCTGTCCACTCTGGCTGACAGCAGCTCACCAAACTGTCGGGTCAAGAAGGGACCTCTCCCAGTCCCGCCCTGTCCTATCGGAGGTCTTCCAGACATATATATTTAAAGGTAAAGGGACCCCTGACCATTAGGTCCAGTCGTGGCCGACTCTGGGGTTGCGGCGCTCATCTCGCTTTACTGGCCGAGGAGCCGGCGTACAGCTTCCGGGTCATGTGGCCAGCAGGACTAAGCCGCTTCTGGCGAACCAGAGCAGTGCATGGAAACGCCGTTTACCTTCCCGCCGGAGTGGTACCTATTTATCTACTTGCACTTTGACGTGCTTTCGGACTGCTAGGTTGGCAGGAGCAGGGACCGAGCAACAGAAGCTCACCCCGTCGCAGGGATTCGAACCGCCGACCTTCTGATCGGCAAGCCCTAGGCTCTGTGGTGTAACCCACATCGCCAGCCACGCATATATATTTACTTGGTGCTAAATCACTTGGAGACTTCTTTCTTAGAAGAAAGCAAGATGGTGCAATCGTATCTTCATGTGTGTTTGACATGTGCGATTTCAGCCATATACAGTTGAAGGCAGACTGGTTGGGACCGTGCATGTTAAATCCAGGCAAGGTTGTGAGCTTGAGAGCTTTCTTCGCACCAGGTCCCCTCGGGGTTACCTGGTGCAAAAAAGAGCTTTTAAGTTGCCTGCTTTACTTAATGGGCAAGGCTTGAGATCCGGGAGTGCTCTCCACCTCACCCAGGAGCCACAGGGCAGTTCTGAGCATCCGGTTCTGCGCTTTTCCTTGCGACTGAACCGCTGCCTGAGATGTGATTGCACTGCACATGGATGTAACCTAAAACCTTAGCTTCCTAAAATGATTATACCTCCCCAGAGTTTGCTAACTGGACCCAGGTGCAAAAGTGGGTAGGATTCAGTATGGGGGTTCAGGACTAGAGTGGCACTGCTCCTGCATTGCCGCGGGTTGGACTAGATGACCCTCGGCGCCCCTCTTCGAAATCCTGGCTGATCCAGCCACTCTCTGCTCCACGACTTCCCCAGTGGCCTTTCCCCTCCGCTGTTCCCTGAGCTGGAGATGCTGTATATATAGAGTGGTCAATGTTAGGGTTGGGTTGGGTTGGGTTGGTTGGGTGGTAGAAACCTGGTTGTGTTTGGTGTGTGTAAAAGCTGTCGGTCGTGGTAGGAGAAGAAAACTTTTTAATAATAATAAAAGTTTATTCTTTATACCCCGCCCATCTGGCTGGGCTTCCCCAGCCACTCTGGGTGGCTTCCAACAAAATACTAAAATACCGTAATACATCAAACATTAAAACTTCCTAAACAGGGCTGCCTTCAGATGTCTTCTAAAAGTCAGATAGTTGTCTATTTCTTTGACATCTGATGGGAGGGTGTTCCACAGGGCAGGCACCACTACTGAGAAGGCCCTCTGCCTGGTTCCCTGTAACTCCGCTTCTTGCAGTGAGGGAACTGCCAGAAGGCCCTCTGAGCAGGACCTCAGTGTCTGGGATGGACGATGGGGGGGGGGAATGCTCCTTCAGGTATACTTTGCCGAGGTTGTTTAGGGCTTTAAAGGTCAGCACCAACACTTTGAATTGTGCTCCGAAACATGCTGGGAAACCATGACAGGGCCTTTTCAGTGGTAGTCCCCTGGTTGTGAAATGCCTTCCTTAGTGAGGTGGCTGCCTGTCTCTATTGTCAACTTTCAAGGAGGAATTTGAAAACATTCCTGCTCGCCCAGGCATTTAAAGAGCTGTCACGTGGAGGATGGAACAAGCTTGTTTTCTCCTGCTCCCAAGGGTAGGACTCTATCCAATGGATTCAAGTTACAAGAAAGGAGATTCTGACTAAACATTGGGAAGAACTTGCTGGCAGTAAGAACTTTTCAACAGTGGAATGAACTCCCATTAGAGGTGGTGGACTCTCCTTGTTTGGAGGTTTTGAAGCAGAGGTTGGATGGCCACCGTCATGGATGCTATAGCTGAGACTCCTGCATTGCAGGGGGTTGGACTAGATGACCCTTGGGTTCCCTTCCAACTCTACAATTTATGACTTAATTTGGAATTCTGGGATCAGTTGCCCTATTGAACTCCCCCATTCAATCCACAGATGGGCCAGTTATTAGCACTAATAATCTTGGCACAGCTATGAGGAGTCAACACTGTAAACAGGGACTTCCCCACACCTTTATCTTCTCTGTTTGGCTTGAGGGAGGTGCTGCAAAGCGGGCTTTCCTGGTTCAGAAGTTATCTGTGCCTGGGCCGCTCAGTTCTTTCAAGGACATGAAGGTAACACTGATGGCTTCCCATTGATCCGAGAGCTGCACTGGCTGCGTCAATATGGCCCAAGTAACCTAGAAACCACTTGGGAATCGACCAGACAGTAAACTGGCCAATTGATTTCCTATGGCAGCCAGACACACACACACATACGCGGACAGAGATGGAGGGAATGACTGGCGCAAGGTCTAACACAGGTGGGAATAAGCACTCCAGTTGCACAAATTCCTTGGGGCAGTGCTAAAGGGTGGGGAGAAGGGGGGAATTTGCATCCTCTAGTTCAGCTTTGAGAAGGTCCAGTCTGCGCTCAGCAGACCTCAACCTCCAACCAGTGGAGGCAAAATGCAGCAGAGTGATTGCAACTCTGGGACTTTTTCCTGGGTAGGGACCATGACTTAAACTGCCAGAGTGATACGGTTATGGAAGGACCTTCCTTGTTTAGCACAGGGGTGAGGAATTTGTTTTGTCCCACTAGCCAGATCCTTGCAGCGATTTTCATTCTGATCCGTCCTAATCACTCTCTCTCTCTCTCTCTCTCTCTCTCTCTCTCTCTCTCTCTCTCACACACACACACACACACAGCGCTGTTTCCATTCTGCTGCAGTTTGCCTTTTTGTGTTTGGTGAGGGGAACTATGCTATTTTTCTTGCCACCTGCAGCGGTTGAGTTTTTACATAAACTAATTACATTATTAACAGTGTTATTCCTACGTTAATCCACACTGTTTACTTCAGTGCAGAGGGAACGCAATGCAAATTGGGAGAAAGCAATCGATTATGAATCGTTTGCATAAGAGATCAACATGACGGACAATATGTAGAAGAGTTCAAGCCTTTTTTGGGTGATTCACAAAAATATCAGAATCAAATGAAATCACGGGCAGGATTTGAAATTTAATATATGAAACAGAGGAATATATATTAAATGAAATGTGATGTAATAGAGGAATATTTATCAGGTGAAATGTGCAATATTATGCAGTATACAAAACAGATGGGTATAAAACAGTATGGAGAGGATGGTGGGAAGTCAAATTATAAGAGAAATGCATAACAAATTTGAAGTTTGAAATTAATTGGTTAAAGCTATGAAGAGCTAATAAAAATCTTAATAAATAGAATCATTTGCAGACTGAAGAACAACAGCAAACAACAGTCCTATTCACTGGAAGGACTTCTGCTCCAGGCCTGGGACAAAATTCTGCTCCCATTTCTCTTTCCGTTCCAGTTCTCTGACTGCCCTTTTCTCCCAAATTGGGGACGTAGGGAACTGAAACTGATACTGAGTCACAATGCTGGTCCACTTCGTTGAGATTCTGGTGTTGTTTTGGGGTCCCAAGAATGCGTATCAGGAGGAAGCAGGCCTTCTAAGCGCAACCGTCCTTTATTACTACAAAACAAAAACGGGAAACGAAAGTGCACTCTGGTGCTCTGCAATGTGCCAACTGCAGGAACTCAAGAGGCCCAAAAAGCATTAACCTGAAACACAGTGCCCCCTGGCATACATTAAACCAGGGAAAGCCAAAGGCATCTGGTCTCACAGCAGAGGTGAGCCCTGCTTTCCCTCTGCTCTACAACCTGACAGAATTGACACTGCCAGGTAGCAGTTGGGGAGGACCCCCCAAAATAGCATCCTCTTCCTAGATATGTGCTCCAGACACCTTTGCCATTACAGTGGTACATTGGTACTCAAAGAACTTGGAACCCAAACACTGCAAACCTGGAAGTAAGTGTTCCGGTTTGCGAACTTTTTTTGGAACCCAAACGTGCTCCGTTTTGAGTTTTACACTTCCTATTTGAGTGCCACACTTCCATTTTAAGTGTTACGCTGAGGTCTGTCTGCTTTTGCTATTTATTTTGTGTTTTTGTTTTTGCGGCTCCTGTGTGTGTGTGTCTCTGTGTGGAACTCAGATCAGCTATTGATTGATTGATTGATTGATTGATTGTGTGACTGCAGTACAGTGGTACCTCGGGTTAAGAATTTAATTCGTTCTGGAGGTCCGTTCTTAACCTGAAACTGTTCTTAACTTGAGGCACCACTTTAGCTAATGGGGCCTCCTGCTACCGCTGCACCACCGCCACACAATTTCTGTTCTCATTCTGAAGCAAAGTTTTTAACCAGAGGTACTATTTCTGGGTTAGCGGAGTCTGTAACCTGAAGCGTTTGTAACCCGAGGTACCACTGTACATTGTTTATTGCTTTCATTTTAGGGATCAATGGTCTCATTAGATAGTAAAATTCATGTTAAATTGCTATTTTAGGAGTTGTTTTTAAAAGTCTGGAATGGATTAATCTATTTTGCATTCCTTTCTATGGGAAAGTGTGCCTTGCTTTTGGAACACTTTGGTTTTGGAACGGAGTTCTGGAATGGATTAAGTTTGAGAACCAAGGTACCACTGTATCTTTTATATACTAGAAAAAGTCCATCCTGTTCTCCTGGGCTTTTAATGGTTGTGTGGTATGCTAAGAATCAATCCTAGAAAGAAGTGGCAAAGTCACAAAGGAAAGAGCACCTCGGAGCAAATGTACCTATGCCTTCTAAATGCCCTGGGGGGGGATGAGACATCCCATTTTTTTCTCATGAGATCTCAGCGGCCATCTTGGGCGCCATGCTA